GTTTCTATATTTAGAATATTTTGTAATATTATTTTCCAGTCTATCAAAGAAGTGATCATTATTGTGCATTCAGTGGATAGGTAGGTTGTAAATGAAACAAATCTAAATGTCATTAGATGTTTTAAAGAATTAATTCTCAAGTTTGCACCACAATATGTCCTCCTCCTCTTTTGTGTTTTTTTCTCACAACTGAATGGGCATAGTATCCTTCAATATGTAAACTATTTTGTGTGGTAATGTTTCCCCAATGTGGTTGTAATGTTTCCAACAAAGTCAGTGTCATCAAGTTTACTCCCTAATCCTTGAATATTCCAGTATGAAATTGATAGTGATTTCTTTTGTGCGAATGATCTTACAAAGTTGCATCTATGATGTTAAAGCACATTATCCTAATTGGTGGGTAGCCTATGGCTGGCTATGTGGCATACATCTTGGAACCCATTTTTCCTGATGCAAGTATGCGGCTGATCTATCATATGCTGCCGATATTGCATTGGTTGGTAGTCATAGTGTTGGGGTCTGTAAGATCTGTTTATTCCCAATAATGGACCAGTGACATTCTTTATGTTTTTCACTAATTTTCCTGTACCGCAGTTGTTCAAATGAATTGTATCTATCGGGTGTTTGTCAGGGATGATATTATTGATATAGAAAAGGCTTGCTTTTATGTAGCACAATGTTTTCAGTTCTCTATTTAGGTTATTGATTTGTTGATTTAAATGTACATTCTGTCTTGCGTTAAGAATGGATGATATGCAAATCTTGGCATTTGGGTATTTCTTTTCAGCCTGGATCACTAATTATAAGTAATCATCCATGCATAACTCAACTGAGGTGCCATCACTGATTCCAACGTGAACTACAATTATCTGCATGTTGTTTGCTTCTGTTTGTTGGATATATGTATCAAGGTCTTTAATCTTCTTTCCTCTACATGTTCCGATATGTGTATTTCTGTACAGACGATTCTTTTCAATGTTTTTCAGTATGGAATCACCAACAATCATGGTCTGTATGATGGGCATAGATATATTTCTTCTTTTTACCACGAATCTTTCTTTACCTTGTGATGGTTTGGTTGTGTTGTCATAAATGGGAGTTTTATTCTTATTACTTTTTGTAATAAAGTAGCACACTGATTGGATGTCTGTAGCTGGTAAACATGTGTAGCTGGCATAATTCCTGTTAGTTATGTTTGTAAAGCATTGTTCCATCCTTTCAGATCTTCAATCTCTTCATTTGTCATCCTTATTTCATTGTGAATATACTCTCTTTATTAAGTTATTGATTCATTTGTTCCTTGTGTTTGCCAGGTTCATTGCCACAAAAACTTCTTTCAGTGATTTTTTATTCTGCTCTACTGTATCACATATTTTTGTTATTGTTTTCTAAAGTTTATTGACTTTACCTTCAATTTCTGATATATCTGTCTTATTTACTTCTACCATATCATTGTTTGTTGACTGCTTACCATCAGTGATTTTGGATATCTACTTTTAAATTATCTGTTTTGATTGTTGGCATAAAGTGGTAATCTTCAACTGATCATTTATTTCTTCTTATTTTTATTTCTTGACAATTTCAAAGTATATAACGAATATATTTAAACATTTCCCCTAAAGTTGCAGCTAGGTCTGTATTGTCAATAGTTGTTTTATTCTTATTTTGGTTTTTGGAATTTGGTGTTCGTTGTGGTATTTTTTATGGTGTGTAGATATTTTTTAAGGTTGACTTATTTTCTCTTTCTGGTGTTGTGTATTTCACAGCTGACTTTGTCTTTTCTTGTTGTATTGGGTGAACTGACATATTTTGTTGTTATCTAACTCTGGTTGATCTATTGCCATTATTGGATTAATATTCCCATCATATGAGATATCTGCATTACCAGTGGGCTCTTCCTCATCATCATCATCAGAGTGACGGTACTGTAAGTACTAGTAAACAGTCCCGGACATACTAGTAGTCAATATGGGAGTATGAATCAGTTAGGGCCTGAAGATAGCGTCATCACACAGTATTCTATGATTAATGAACAAAATTCACATAACAATCTTATACTTACAAATAATCCGATAATTAAGTTGACAATCCCTAATATTGCTAAATCGCCAGTTGTGAACTTTATCAGGATTCCCACATGAAGTTACACAGATAGAGAAAATGCATCATTCTAAAAAGGAAAAATATAGGTTATTGTCCAGGTTATATATATTTTTATTTCATTGTTGAAACTGAGTTATACATTTGTTTCGTACTATAATTGATCTATATTGGGAAATTGTTATGCGGATTATTAATTTCAATAAACAATATTCAAATATCCTTTACAACACCAATAAGATCATTAATTACAGTATGTCAATATGCAGTATAAAAAAATACATGACGCAACGCCCATTATAAGTGGTCAAATGTTTGAAACTGGGGCATTATCAGAGCATGTGTCTTGTCTTGGAACTCTTGACAAAGCAACTGCACAAATCAAATAGCAAATTAATAGCTTCTATTGATGGTATTCCCAGAATAGCACCAGTTGTTAACAAAAAAAAATCTTTATTATGTGTGGTAAAGTTCTCGCCGGCATTATCACCCGCCCCTACAATGGTTCAGCGCTAAACGCAACCCTAACTACGCATAACGCTACCTGAAGTTCGCATCAACAAAAAAACTTCCCATTTGGACTTCAGACTGATGTTAGACGCCAGGTTCGACATTAGTAGTACGTGGATCTGCTCGCCAGATTTCAGAGTAGTGCAAATCGTAAACCTCCTTTTGTTGAATGAGCTCTCGAGCAGCAACAAAGCTAGACTGACAAAGTCTAGACTTCTTTTTTGTTTTACAGAAAATATATATAATTGATTGTCAATTTAGCCTTTTTAACGTGATCGCAAAAACTAGCGTGACTGCGAAAGAAATCCCAACAGGACGCATCTGCAGACGACCCCCTGAGTTGGAGTGAAAACCGGAGCGGAATCACTCCGGTGATTATGCTAATTAAAAGATGTTGACTAGCATTGACAACGAATCAAAGTGCAGCTGTATATGTCATATGTTAATGCACGTGACCTTTCACTTCTGAGGTCCCGGCGATTTTGAGAATGTTGACATTTAAATCGACTTGTTTTCAGTAAACATGGATGAAAGTATTGCCGTTGCACTTAAAAAAAGTTAAAGTATCCATCTCTGCGATCGAATCGAATCAACCTTTAAAAAGTCATGTTTACTTTCACACAGCCACACATGAATAATCAATGATATCATGAATAATTAATATCAATCAAATGCCCGCTGATGCGCCCAGTCGGGATTTCTTTAGCGGTAAGGTTAGTTTTCGCGATCATTATTAAAATGACAGTCTACAACAAAGCCAGAACCATGCTGTCTCAATTTTTAAATACCATGACGTCACACAGCTAATTGTGACAATCGTTAATTGGCCCGCGACACCTGACATTCTTCACACAGATACTCGTCCAGTTGTCCAAGGGTGACATCGAGGTAAATTAACAGGACGTAGTTTCTCTTTGTATAGTGTCAAATACGTCTACCTACTGGGCTACAAAACCAACCTCTGTTATTATACTATGACAATAAATTAATAGATACATAATTACATCTCACGTGTATAATTCATAATTAGTTTCTTAAAATATGATCCAAATGTCCCATGACATCTATTTTTCTAATGAATAATACCAATATCAAAATGTTAGTAAAATATTGAACAGCTATTGAATCACACAACCAAACAGAGTTATATTATTAATCACATTGCACATTAATTGGATATCACACCAGCAAACTTGTACACTTTTTATTTTGACTAGTAAGTCATGTGATTTCCGTATGTCGGTTCCCTGCAGTGATCAGGTTATCACGTGATCTAACTCATTGTGATTTATGATGTGATCAGGCTATTATCACGTGGCTATGTGACCAATAGTGGATATTCCGCCAACTGCGGGATCTCGCGAGAGTGAGATTACGCCATAGCTACGGTTGCTGGCAGGTCAAGCTTTAGAAAATGGGATCGTGCATGTAAACCACACACGCGACTCGGCAACATTTAGAACTGATTTTCGCAATTAATTGATCATGGGTGCTTTTAAAAAGCTCACAGTCCCGCAGCTAAAAGACTCTCTTCGCAAATTATATAAAGAATATTCTAGTTTCGCTGGCAAAATCAGATGACCAATTATGTTTAGGCCATCACATGTGTTGTTGCGCAACACAATAAATTCAACCTTGAAAGAATATTATCTTGGAACTATAAATGTACAGGAATTCGTCCTTAAATATATTCAGGTTATTGAGCCAACAATATTACAATGTAACTATTTACTATCTACAATCTACTTACTCAGAAACATATTTGAAATGAGTTGTATATATAATATGCATTCTACAGAATATTATATTTAGACAGGATTTACTCGTCTATGTGGTACATCACACAGGATTCGTTTCTTAAAAAAAACACAACATTTGACGTTTTAATGTACACTGACCATAATTCAATGATTGTGAACTAGGTAATTTCTCTGATTCACATTATCTATATTGCTTTGTACTAGCATTTCCCAGGCTACACATTTGTGCTAATCTCTGAACTGTATATCATCACAGCATGTATAGAAATAAATAAATTAATATTAAATAATTAAAATTATGTTATTAATGGTGTCTTATTAACAAACTATGCACTGTCCAAAAAAAACTTGTTCTAGAATTTTGAGTAGATTATTTAACACCCTGCCTAGTATTCGCATTTCACGACGCTGGGTGTATTGCACTGGCATACTTGTGCATTAATGTTGTTTTGATAAAATCATATACAAAACACAAGATACACGAATGGCATTACTGTCAAATATTAGTGAATGACTAATCACACATTTAACCTAATTATTACAGATATTTACGCGTTCATTACATGAATACGTCATCTCATTAATTTCATGTTTTATATTTTCAGGTTACCACAATCCCTAAATTTAATAATGTTGCAAAGGTTTAAGTGGCTGTTCGGTTCATTAGTAGTTGTGTCAGTATTGTTAATATATTGGCGGGAAACAAATGGATCGAAAGAAAAAAGTAATTCAGTTTCTGGGAACCACGGAGGCACTGGTGTGCATGTGCAGTATGTTTCGAAGGTGAACATTGAACCAGTGAAAATAATTCGGTATACTAGTCCTTTTCCGAAGTTGACAAATGGAGTCCAGTGCGCTGATATCATGCAAGATACTAATCATTCTATGCAGATAAATACGAAGACAAAAAAGGCTGTAAAAGTAATCCTCCCTGATAAAATATTTCTAAATTTAACAACAGACTGCCATTGGTTTGCACACAGTCGTGGATACCTGAGTAAACCAGTCTTGCAGGAGGAGTTGGAATTCCCGTTAGCATTTGGTATACTCGTATATAAAACTGTTCACCAAGTTGAGCAGCTGTTGAGAACAATTTACAGACCACATAATATATATTGTATTCATGTAGATAAAAAGGCTGCTACCATTGTACATGATGGTTTGCAAGCCATAGCAAACTGTTTTGACAATGTTTTCATTGCCAAACGTTTAATGAATGTGGTTTGGGGAACAATCACAGTCGTCGAAGCAGAACTAAGCTGTCAGTCAGATACACTGGAAAGGAATAAAAAGTGGAAGTACTATATTAATCTGACTGGACAGGAGTTTCCGTTGAAAACTAATCTCGAAATTGTAAGAATATTACGCGAATTCCACGGTCAGAACGATATCATGACATCAAGAAGTCTATTTGTTGATCGTCTTTTCTATATTCATGAAATAGCTAACAACACTTTAATAAACACTAAACAGTTAAGAAAGGAAGGTTTGCCAGATGATATTACTGTGAAAAAAGGTGAACTTCATTGCGCTCTCAGTCGTCCGTTTGTTGAATACATACATCACAATAAGCTTTCTCATCAGTGGTTTAAATGGCTTAATAACACCAGTTGCCCAGATGAAAGTTACTATCACAGTTTGTCATTCTCACCAGAAGCTCCAGGGGGTCCTGGTACCCGCGACGTGGAATTTATCATTTCTCGAACAAAGAGCTGGAAACACTTCAATCAGCCTTGCAAAGGGAAATATGTGCGTGATGTTTGTATATTTTCGTATCAGGATCTTCCACGGCTTTTCAAAGAACCACATCTCTTTGCTAATAAATTCCACGCTGACTATGACGGACTCGTCTTGAAGTGTTTAGAAGAAGCTATTGACAACAGAACATACAACCCGATCAAATTAAACATTGGTATGTACAGAAAATTTGTGAAATTTCGATTGTTGAATGAAACCAATCTTGAAACGTGGATGTTGAATTGAATTAAAGTGACCGCGTTCCATATGAAATATTGGGGGGGGGGTCATAACATTAAGATAATACATTTTGGGGTATTTAGGTTATGTTAGCCCATAAATTGAAATTGTTGAAAAGTAGACACCAGAAAACATGAGAACTACGGAATGGAATCCAACAAAAAATTATATTATATTATATTTTAGCATTTTGATTGCAGGATTCAAGTTGGTAAGATTATGAAACACATATTTACTGACTGGAATAATTAGCTCACATGATTATATATGATCAAATAATAGGGTACTAGTAGTTATGTGTTTGCATATTATTCTCTGTAACAGAGTATTAGTTATGCATAATAATTAAATCACATGATTATATATGATCAAATGATAGGGTACTAGTAGTTATGTGTTTGCATATCATTCTCTGTAACAGAGTATTAGTTATGCATAATAATTAGATCACATGATTATATATGGTAAAATGATAGGGTACTAGTAGTTATGTGTTTGCATATCATTCTCTGTAACAGAGTATTAGTTATGCATAATAATTAGCTCACATGACTACATATCGTAAGATGTCAGAGAACTAATTATCATAAGGTCGATAAGAAATAGAACTGCAATCAAATGTCATGACACATTCTTCTGTACAACATTGAGATGATGTTCATTATAGATCATTAGCTAAAAATTCCATGACCATTCAGTGACAACCGAGTAGCAACTGCTCGTGAGGGGACTTGTTGACAACACATTGTTGTCATAGCGACATCATGTACGCACATTTAATTCACATGAGATTGCAGTATTATTTAGAATCAACAACATGCATATTTAGGGTAGACATAATCAGGAATTGTATAAATAGATTGTGTACTAATTGTGTGCAGCGAGGCGTTACCTCAGTTTACCTTTTGGATGAATAAAGCTGGACTATCTGTAATGAACTAATGTGAATTCCTTTGGGTCGAATCTGATATCTCTTGGTGTAAGTGTTATCAGCTAAGTGAGTCAAGTTCCCCGAACACACCGCTATACTGATTGATTCCACTGCAATCATTATGGTTTCCAAACATTATAATATGTTTCTGGAATTTGTCTTTCTATGATAGGAAGACCAGTTGTCACTTTTAAACTGCAGCCCCGTTTTTTTGTTTCAAAATGACCTACACAAAATTAGTCGGTCGCGAGCCGACGGACCAGCATTAATTGACGACACTGGTATTGGTACAGGATTCGCGCTTTAAAGAATTAGATGAAGTAATCTACACCGGTTTGAAACCGACTGTTTTTTGAATAGTTGTAGTGAAATTCAGATCATTGAACTAAAACAGACATAAACTCTCGTGTGTTTATTAGTTGGTAAATATGCAAATTAACTGAGCAGATTCATTCAAAACCAATATAAGGCATTCTATCGTGTATTCATCAGTTGCCTTCTTGTTACATTGTAGTTTCTTTGTTGTAACATCGCCATAATAAACAGTGTATTGTTTAAATGTACATTACGCTTCCTTTATTATACTCTACGATCCAATGCATGCAGTTTGAATCTGATCGAATGTGAGCGAATATCACCCACATTAATGAAGTAAATCCAGCAATTAATTTTATTGGTCAAAACACAAACCTAACATATGCAATCAATTGTATAGTGGCTGGTAATACACAGTCGACCGTCTAGCATTAATTGCAAATGATAATAATTCCCGCAGTTAACTGAATCGGCTAAATATCATTTTTGCACTACGGACGTAGAGCAAAATGCTGGAAATGGTTGCCGTCTGTGGCGTTTGCTCGAGCGATTCGCTCAAGATTCAGTAGGGTGTTCAGTACTAATGGACGTTTCTATTTGTTTTCGAAAATATGTTGACTGAGACGACTTCACAAAGTTATGGCTAAGAACAAGCTTTATAAAGTGAAAAACGGGCACGCAATAACGCGTTCGCGTGAAATGTTTTTGGCACTGATCTCACCCCATAGGGATCTCCATATTATGCATTATA